GCAAGTTCCCTCAAGCCCCTGGTCCCCATTTGAAAGCCACCTGGCTATTCTCTAAACATGCCATGCATTTTCAGGTCCCTGTGACTGCCATTGTGGTAACCTGTGCCTGGAAAGCCCTTCACTGTACCCCACCTGAGTGAAGTGTACTCATCTTGCAAGACTCAGGCAAATTTTACCCATTTTAAACAGGATCCCTTCTATAGTCTGCCCACATTACTCCCCACACACACACTTTTCTCTCTCTGCTTTTTGTAGCACTTTGTTTTGTTAGTTTGCATTCTTATTTATTCACTCAACAAACATTTATTGAGGGCTTACCATGTGTCAGACATTGTGCAGAGGACCCGAAATGCAAAACATGAATAAAAACTTAGTTCTTGACCTCAAGAAGCTCATTGTCTAGTGGGGAAAACATAGTTATAAGCAGATAGATTTAAAGCAGGGTGGAAGTTCAGATGACAAAGCATCATGAGAGCTCAGGTGGGATACACAGCAGTTAATCAGATGATGGGGAGGATGGAAGGGCATGCCAGGCAGAGTGATCAGTGCAGGGAAGGATGAGAGACACCGGACTTCCTGGGAGAACTCCAGATAGCTTGGCATTATTGGCATATGCAGTGTCAGGAAGAGAAAGTGAGAGAGAGGTGAGTTAGAGAGAAAGGAAGGACCACATTATGGATTGTGTTGTATTGTTAGTAGGGTTACACATACTGCTTTCCCAGTTAGATTTTACTCATTCACTCAATAAATATTTGTGGAGCATCTGCTACATGCCAGATATTCTTCTAAGAACTGGGATATTGCAGTGAACAAATAAAGTTCTTGTTTCTGTGGAGCTAATAGTCTACTGGAAGGAGATAGACACTGAGCAAATTAACAAAACATATACTAGTGGTGATGAGTGTTATGAAGAAAAATAAAAGCAGAGTAAGTGAATGGAGAGTGATGGGGATGCCATTTAGATAGGGTAAGGGAGGAAGATAGCGTTATATAAGGGACCTGACATGGGAGTCAGTCATCACATGGGGTAAGTGCAAAGGCCCTGAAGCAGGAGAGTACTTAGTGTGTTCGAAGCCAGAGTGGATGGAGTGGGGTGAGCAAGGAGGAACACGGCAGGTTTAAGGTAAGGGAGCTGGGAGAAATCCTCTTTTGGTAGGACACGCAGACCTCGTCTAGGACCTGGGACATACAGGCAGCTCAATCAGTGGTACTTAACCCTGGCTGCACATTGAAATCAGTTTAGAAACTTTTAGAAAGCATAATGCCTGAATCCAACCCCTAAAATTTATGATTTCATGAGCCTAAGGTTGATCTTGGTTACCTGTATCTTTTAAAAGTTCCCCCAGGTGATTCTAAAATGGGTCCAGTTGAGACTCTGACTAAATAAACTTCTGTTGAATGGAATTGAATTGAATTGAATCAACAGCAAGTAATAATTCTTTTATCCTAGCTGCCTAGTCTCTAAACACAGCACTACTCTGGATTTATTTTAAAGGCTGTTTTGTTCTTGCCAGTTATGTGGCCTTACGTAAGTTTCCTAATTACTTTAGATACAGTCCCCCTGTGCAAAAATAGACATACTGTATACTCCCACTTATGCAATGTTGTGACAATGCATAGCTTACTGTACAGTAGGCTATATATACTATAAAGGAAGCTATTTGGAATGTGAACGCTCATGTGGAAGAATTGCACATGAGCACCATAATCGGAATAAAGATATTCTTGGAAAGCTGTACTTAGGCTATATATACTATAAAGGAAGCTATTTGGAATGTGAACGCTCATGTGGAAGAATTGCACGTGAGCACCATAATCGGAATAAAGATATTCTTGGAAAGCTGTACTTATGCATGATTTTAAAATAAGGTAGACATTTTAAAAGAATTAGCAGCAGCCAGCACTACACACAGGATTTCAGTAACAGTGATAAAAGAATACTGGTTTCCTTCAATGGACATACAAAGGTGTTTGGCAAAGTTTATTAATATGATGTGGAGCCATGGGATTGTAGAGCTGGAAGGGCCTGACTCTTCTGTTTTGTCCTTGAGGTCCGGAAAGCATAAGAGACTTGCCCAGAGCTGCCCAATTAGTGGTACAGCCAGAACTAGAAGTTTCTTCTGCTAACTCGAAATCTGGTGTTCTTTCCCCTCAAATTACAAAGAAATCAAATTTATGCATTTTCATCCCAAGATGGAAACTTATTTTTTAAACTGAAGACTATGTCATTGCAAATGGAAAGAACGTAAATAATGTCTTTGAAACATATGAGGCTATAACTTTGTACACAGAAACTTGTAACATTTTATGGCCTTTCTTTCTGGCATGTTACACAAACAGCATTCAGCTATTGCACATCTGGACAAACGTAAGAAATAAAACAGACCTTATCCTGCCAGTGAGAAGTCTACCTCATAGGAATATTCTGCACATTCCTCTATGGCCTTTCTCTCCTCAGGCGTGAAAGTGTTATTTATGGGCCTAATTCAGTAATTTCCTAAACTACAACCCGAAGACCTAAAGGAGGGAAGGTGCCTCCCACAGTGTGTGATCCACTCCCAGGGTGGCATAGGGTCCCCGGATGAATCCATGTTTGGCTGTTTTGAAGCATGTAAGGCTTCTAGGAGAAAGATGCTGATGGATAAAGAAAAAAATGCTGCTGTTGTGATAATCTTTTTATAAGGCAGAGTTACTTGGTGATTAATATTGGTGCAATATTTTTGGAAGAATTACAAATTTTATGGTCTTCCAATGATTTTTTTCAAGTTTTTTAATAGTGCCCTTTGAGAAACTGAACAATCACAGTAAACACACTATGCATGTATAAACACCTCAGTTGATGGTGTACATTGTGGGCAGAATCGATGATATTTTGAGTTTATAGCATTTGAGAGCATCAGGAAAACACTTAAAGTCCTCACTAAGAAGAACACTAGTCTGCAGTGGAAGAACTACGCTTGGTAAATGGCTTGTGAACATTTCTTGATACACAGAACCTCCGCTGGATGGCTCCTGAGGTGTTCACACAATGCACTCGCTACACCATCAAAGCTGACGTCTTCAGCTACGCTCTGTGTCTGTGGGAACTTCTCACCGGCGAAATCCCATTCGCTCATCTCAAGCCAGGTAAGAATTTGTTTCCCTGTTTTCCAAAGTCTAGTTGATTTTCACAACTTCAAGAAACATTTTCTTCCCCAAAATGATTATTCTCAGTGGGATGGCAAGAGAAGAGGTAAGTAAACAATCTTAAATTTAATTTGTACATCCCATCCAAAAAACTTAATGACTTATCTCTGTGATTTAAGGCACAGGCACACAGAAGTGTAGGTATATTTTATTAAAGTTTAGAGATTTGATTTTTCCGTTGTTAATAAAACGAGCAAATCACTATGGCCAGGTGGCATGTGAGGCCAATCCAGTATTTATTTTTTGAGCTTAGATCTTAGAGGTGCACTTTTAATATGTGTGTAGGGGCAAGAAAGTGACAACACAAAAATAGCCTATCAGAACAGCTCTCTGCTTGTCACATTATACAAAAGACAACTGCTTTTCCTAATAATTTGTATTGTATACAAGTATATGGATACATTCCAAAAATGGGGCTTTGTTAGTTGGCCTCATTTTGGTTGATGATATACATTGTACTCTCTACTTACATGTAGAGAATGGAGGTGAAGAATCTAATACATGCAAAATGTGTACCTATTCAGGTTTAAGGTAAACTTTATTTGTATCTGTCTCAGTTTTATTTGGGTTGCTCTCCTGTCTTGTTACACTAGACTGGAAACTCCTTAAGGACTGTGCATCCCTAGAACCTAGCATGCTTGAAAAGTAGTTGTCAAATTTAGGTTTTAAATGAATTATATTGTAAGTTCCTCCTAAAGGCCATCTATAAACAATGTATCAGCAATGAGATAAGTCAAAAAGGATATTAGACAAACATCCCTTTTAACAAGTCTTAACCAGGATCACAACATCTATTAATATTCGTGTACAGAGCAAAAGCCACACCTCATATTCTCTTTTCATGGTATTTTTTCCCATAATACCATATGCTCTTTTAATTACACTCTGCATAGTATCTAACAGAATGCTTTTTACAAATTACATGCTCTTTTCATAGTTTATTGAGCACAGTGATGATATAATTGTCCAAATCTTTCTCTATATGGATAGTTCATGGTTTTAAATGATGAGATTTAGACCTTATTATAGTGTGGATGGGAGGAATCTATTTTGATCTGGACCAACATTGCCATTTGTAAGGTCTTGTTTTGATATGCTGCTGTCTCTCTACCTCTCTGAGTTTGCATTCTGATAAGACCCATGAATATATAAAAAATTAATTGTAATTCTAGATATACTATGTTATTTTTTTTAATAAGAGAGAGATACATCTTCCTTCTCCTTACTCCCATGTCAATCCATTCCCCTGGTCCTGTTGATTTTACCTCTTAAGACCTCTTGGATTTAACTACTACGTATCATCACCTATCACTATCCTAGCTTAAGTCACCATCTTTTATTTAAACTACTGCAAATTCTCTTCAAAAAATCATGTTTATTGAGGTATAACATATTCAGCAAAATTTACTTTGGGGGGTTAAAAATTCAATGAATTTTATTAAATACATACAGTTTTATAACCACAACCGCAATTAAGATTTAGAATATTTCCATTACTTCAAAAAGTTACTTCATCCCATTTTTGGAGTCAATCCACGTCTTAGACTTGCAGCTGCTGACAATCAATGACCTGATTTCTGTCCCTATAGGTTTGACTCTTCCAGAATGTCATATAAATGAAATCATGTTATTGCATTTATCAGTAATTCATTCTTCTTCACTGCTGTACAGTATTCCATGTTGTAGATGTGTCTCAATTTGTTTATGCATTCAAAATTGATAATCATTCGAATTATTCTCACTTTAGGGCTGCAATGCATAAAATTGCTAAAACAATTCAAGGTTTTGTGTGGTTGTTTTCATTCCTCTTGGATAAATATATAAGACATGGATTATTATAAAATTGTTAAAACCATTCAAGGTTTTGTGTGGTTGTTTTCATTCCTCTTGGATAAATATATAAGACATGGATTATTAGATCTTATGATAAGAGTTTTTCCAAGGTGTTTGCACTATTATGGGTTCCAACCAGTAGTCTGTAAGAATTTCAGTTGTTCTATATCCTTGCCAGCACTTTGCATTGTCTATTAAAAAATGCATATATATAATATGTGTGTGTATATGTATATATGTATGGTATATATGTATGTGTGTGTGTTAGCCATTTGAGTTGAGGTATAGTGGTAAATCACTGTGTTACTTTACATTTCTGTGATGGCTAACAATGTTGATAATATTTTTATGTGCTTATTTGTTATTCATATCTCTTTCTTTTTTGAAGTGTTTATTCAAATTGTCTTATTTAGTTGTAAGAGTTCTTAGACTGTAGGTAGAAGTACACATCTGGACAAACGTAAGAAATAAAGCAGACCTTATCCTGCCAGTGAGAAGTCTACCTTATAGGAATATTCTGCACATTCCTCTATGGCCTTTCTCTCCTCAGGCGTGAAAGTGTTATTTATGGGCCTAATTCAGTAATTTCCTAAACTACAACCCAAAGACCTAAAGGAGGGAAGGTACCTCCCACAGTACCTGCTATGTGTTTTGCAAGAATTTTCCTATAGTCTGTAGCTTGCCTTTTCATGTTCTTAGCAATGTCTTTCAAAGAGCAGAAGTTTTTAATTTGAATGAAGTCCATCTTATCAAATTTCTAAATCAATTTTTCTTGTGTGTCCAATCTAAAATATTCTTGCTTTACCCAGGCCACAAAGACTTCCTCCTATGTTTTCTTACAGAAGTCTTTTAAGTATAGGTTTTATATTTGTAAGATCCATTTTGAGTTCTTCTCTTTTACGGTATGCAGTATGAGCTGAATTTGTTATTTTTGTTTGTTTTAAATACAGATATCCAATTGTTTAAGCATTATTTGCTGAAACAAAAAGCTATTCTTTCTCCATTAAACTATTTTGGGGCCCAGCCCTGGCACCCTGAACTGGCATCACGCAGGTGAGCCCCCTGGTGCCAGCTGGTGGAACCATGGCTCCACATGGCTCCCTCACCCTGCTGCCTTGAACCCAGGCGGGGAAGCTCCAGGCCCTGCTCCTGTGCCCTGAACCGGCTCCACACAGGGGAGCCTGCCGGAAGTGGCCAGCAGCAGCACCAGACAGTGGAACCAGGGGGCTCCACGTGACTCCCCACTGGAAGCGGCTGGCAGCAGCACAAGACAGTGGAACCAGGCGGTTCCATGTGGCTCTCTCACCCCACTGCCTCAGATCCAGGCAGGGGGTAGCTCCAGACCCAGCTCCTGTGCCCTGAACCAGCACCACACAAGTAAGCCCACCAGGGGCAGCTGGCAGCAATGCCAGCCAGAAGAACCACGCAGCTCCATGCAGCCCTTCATCCTGCCTCAGACCCAGGAGAGAGCACCAGCCTACAGTTCCAACCCACCGAGTTTGGCCCAGCAGAACTCCATGCACTAGGGGCTCATTCTATGACCAGAGTCTAGAACAGCTACCAAGGTGGTTTAACATAACACCACCACACCTACTGTCAAGCAAAGACAATTCACCCCCCACAGTAGCAACCAAGCCCACTCCACAGCCAACCTCAGTGTAATAGAAAAAGCAAACCCCTACCAAATGACCAAGCATCAGTGAAAACACACTAGAAGCACAAACAATCAAGAAGAAATCACCACTGAAAGGATATAGTAATGCCCCAAAGTCAGACTCCATGGAACAGGGAATTCTTGAAATGTCTAAAAAAGAATTTTGAGCAATGATCTTAAGAAAACTTGAAGAAATAAAGAAAGACTCAATTAGAGAACACAATGAAACAAGAAAAAAACATCCAGAATATGAAGAAGGAAATCTGCAAAGAGATTAATATCATAAAAATGAGTGTAGCAGAACTTCTAGAAATGAAAGACTCACTCACTGAAATTAAAAAAAACATGACTGAGAGCTTGAGCAGCAGGGTAGAGCAAGCAGAAGAAAGAATTTCAGAGTTTGAAGATGGTCTTTTTGAAATAAATCAGGCAGACAAAAAAAGGAAAAATCAATTAAAAATAATGAGGAAAACCTATGAGAGATAGCAGACAACCTCAAGCACTCTAAGATCCGAATTGTGGGTATTCCTGAAGGGCAGGAGAAAGGAAAAGGTATCAAAAACCTACTCAAGGAAATAGTAACAGAAAACTCCCCAGGTGTAGGGTGAGATACTGACCTTCAGATCCAAGAAGCTCAAAGGTCCCCAAACAGATTCAACCCAAGAAAATCCTCCCCAAGACATATTATAGTTAAATTCGCAAAGCTCAAAAGACAAAGAGAGATTTCTACAAGCAGCAAGAGAAAAGTGTCAGGTCACTTATAGGGGAACACCCATCAAACTAACAGCAGACTTCTCAACTGAAACCCTACAGGCAAGAAGAAAGTGGAATGATATATTCAAAATACTAAAAGAAAAACACTGCCAGCCAAGAATTCTTTACCCAGAAAGGCTCTCCTTTGGAAACAACGGAGAAATAGTGTATTTCCCAGATAAACAAAAGTTGTGGGAGTTCACCACCACATGACCAGCCATGCAAGAAATTCTCAAGGGAGTCATTCATCTGGAATCTGAATAATGGTGACCATCAGCACGAATACACAAGCAAGAGCAAAACCCACAGTTAAAACAAAAATGCCAGCAAGAAAGAGAAAGAAGCTAAATCATTCTGCCTTAAATTCCCAACTCACATTGAAGAAGAGAAAAAAAGGGGAAATAATGATCAAAAGATATTTAAACCACTGAACAAGTAGCAATTAAATAACAGGAATTAAACAATACTTCTCAATAACTACTCTGAATGTGAATGGACTAAACTCCCCATTCAAAAGACACAGACTGACTGGATTGAAAAGCTAGACCCAAGTATATGCTGTCTTCAAGAGACCCACCTCACCTCTAAAGACACTCACAGACTAAAAGTGAAAGGATGGAAAAAGATATACCATGCAAATGGAAACCAAAAAGGAGCAGGAGTAGCTATTTTTATATCAGACAAAATAGACTTTAAACCA